CTCTGCCTCCTGAAGCAATCTCATTCCATCCCGTATGCTCCAATAGATTGCCCCCTAGTTCATTCCCACTCTATCAGTGATTTTTAATTTTTCCTTGTCCACCAGCTTATTCTCTACTGCCTACAAACATGCCCATGTCTCCCCCATCCTCACAAAACCCTTATTCAATCCTTCCATCTCCACTATCATCCTATATCTCTTCTGCCCTTTGTAGGTAAACATGAAGAAAAGGCCACTCTCACCAAATTTACCAGTGATCTCTTAGTTACCAAATCCAGTGGCCTTTTCTCAACCCTCATTCTCCTTGACTTCTCTATAGCCTTTGAAGCTTCTAACCACCTTCTCCTCCATGTTACTCTTTTCTCTAGGTTTTGGGGTTACCACTCTCTCCTGATTCTCCTCCAATCTGACAGCTCTTTTGTGGTCTCCTTTGCTGGATCCTCTTCCAGATCATGCCCTCTAACCACAGGTATCCCTCAGGGTTCTGTCCTGGGCTCTTTTCTCTTCTCCCTCTATACTACTTCATTTGGTGATCTCATCAGCTCCCATGGATTAAATTATCACCTCTATACTAATGATTCTCAAATCCACCTTTCCTGCCCCATCTTTCTGCTAATCTCCAATCTCACATCTCCAACTGCTTTTCAGATATCTCAAACTGGATGTCCACTAGACATCTTAAACTCAATATGTCTAAAACAGAACTCATTATCTCTCCCCCTCCTACCTTCCTTATTACTGTAGAGAATAATTCCATCCTCCTAGTCCCTCAGGCTCCCAACCTCAGTCATCCTGTATTCCTCATTATCTTTCTCTCTCTTCCTCACACTCCCGCTACCATATCAAATCTGTTGCCAAGACCTGTGGATTTCACCTTTGCTACATCTCTTGAATATGCCCCTTTTTCTCCTCTGATGATACCACCACCCTGATGCAGGCCTTTATCAACTCACGCCTATTGCAAGAGCCTGCTGGTGGGTCTGCCTTCCTCAAGTCTCTCTCCACTCCAATCCGTCCTTCATTCAGCTACTAAAGTGATTTTCCTAACATCTGACCATGTTATCCCATTACTCAATAAACTCCAGTAGCTCCCTATTGCCTCCAGGATCCAAGACAAAATGTTCACTATTTGTCATTCAAAGCCCTTCATAATATAGCCCCCTCCTACTTTTCCAGCCTTCTTACACCTTATTCCCTACCACGTACTCTTCAATCCAGTGACATGGATATCCCTGCTGTTCCATGAACAAGACCTTCTATCTCTCATCTCTGGGGCATTTCTCTGGCTGTCCCCCATGCCTGGAACACTTTTATCATTGCTGCCTACTGACTTCCATGGCTTCTTTTAAGTCCCAACTAAAATTACATCTTTTACAGGAAGCCTTTCCCAACCCCTCTTATCCCTCTGTTAATTATTTCCTATTTATCCTCTATATAGATTGTCTGCATATATCTGTTTACATAAGTCTCCCCCATGAGATTGTGAGCTCCTTGAGGACAGAGAGTGTCTTTTGCTTCTTTCGGTATCCCCAGCACTTAGTGCCTGGCACATAGCAGGCACTTAATAAGTGTTTATTGATTGATTGATCTAACTATTCCTCAATTGATTAGGCATCCTCTTGGTTTCTAGTTCTTTGTCACTTCAAAAAGAACCTGCTAGAAATATGTTTTGTATATGTGGGTCCTTTTCCACTTTCTTTGATCTCTTTGGGGGATGGGACTCGTTGTGGTGGTTGTTGTTGTGGTTTGTCTTTCCTGCCAGAAAAGACTATGACATCAGGAAGATGATGCCATGACTTGCAAGTCAATTGGATATAAGTGAGGGAGAGCTGTGCAAAACCATCAGCCTCACTTTCTTCTCAGGAACCAGTGGCATAGCTGGGTCAAAAGGTATGAGCATTGGGGCAGTTAGGTGGCACAGGGGATAGAGCACTGGCCCTGGAGTCAGGGGCCAGAGTTCAAATCCAGGCTCAGACCAAACATTTGACACTTACTAGCTGTGTGACCCTGGACAAGTCACTTAATCCCAACTGCCTGAAAAAAAAAAAGGTATGAGCATGTCTCTTTTCTTCGGATCAATAAACCAAGCATTGCAATAAGAAAACATGAATGTACAAGAGGACAAGAAGACAGAGCAGAGCTAGTATCTGTACAGCTGGAAGAGAAGTCATGTTGATAAAAGCAAGAATCTTTCAAAGTACAATATATTGAAATGAGACACCTGAGTATTGTTTGGAAAGTTTATTTTTGTGGGAGAAAGTTGGCCCAGGTGGTAATTAGCTAGCCCCTCCCAAGGTAAGGATTCTGGTAATAGAAGTGAAGTTTAGTCCTTTTTAGGTTGGCCTGCCTTTGTGTGCCTTCTGTAAAGTCACAAGGCGAGGTAAGTCTATAATTAAGGGGTTATTGAAAATAGAGGTTCATGACATGACAGATTGCAACTTTCTTAAAAGGTCTTGTAACTACATAGCCTTTAAAAACTTTTGGTGCAGTTTGTATCCTGTTGTGTTATGATCTACTTAAGATATTCAGCTTACAAAGTCAACCCGGGTTCAAGTTACAAGACACTGAGAGATGGCCAATGAGGTTAAGAGTTAGCCTAGTTCCCCCCATGAGATTTCTGAGCATGACAAGACACTCCATTTGGATTATTGCCCTTGGACCTAACCAAAAGCATTTTGAATTAATTGTTGCATGGCTCATAAAAAAGCTCACTAAAGCTTTTGTTAACTTAAGTTTGTCCCATGATACAAGTAAGAGCAGTTTGGCAGTATTGATTCCGAAGAAAAAAAAGACACCTCAGTCATACTTGGTTGGTCAAATTTCATAGAATTAAAATAAAGGTATGCCTTCTGAAAAGAGCATAGGAAGAAGAGCTAAGGCAGTTCAAGAAACAGTCCTTAAAGTTTATATAGAGCTGAATTTGAAGAAAACAAAATATTATTGGGCAATGGGAATTTCTTCTGGGAAGTTTGCATTTACAAACTGGTGCCAAATTTTAAATTGCATATAAAATTGTATACTAGCCAATAAGCATTCACTGAATGTCTACTTTGTTTAGAGATGCTATGTATGCTGGGTAAGTGCTTATGAGGTCATTGCATTCCGCTTTTTCTTTGGAATTTTACTGTGAGACAGTGTGGATTGGAGAGTGGCTCTGGGGTCTTGGCCCTTATCTAATTGTTGATTTTCTGCATCTAACTACTATGTACCTTTGTTTCATCCATTTGCAGTGAAAATTTGTCACTGGTTTTGTCTACTGCTGTAAAACTTTAGACGAAGTATGTACAATTAGAGTACAAAACTATAATCCTGTTAGCAGATTCCTAAGGGGAAGCAACAATTCTATTTATATGTAGATTAACAGAAGAGACATTTTCATCTCTCTTCTCTTCCCATTGTGTTATTCACACTTATATCCATCAAATAATATTTTAAACAGAGAAAGAACTTATCATTTAAAAGAAACTGCCACAATTTTTTTGAAAATAAAGTCAGAATCCTTTTCTAATGGGAATAATTAAATTATCCCCTAATCCAATAGTTTGGGTTTTCTTATAGTGAGATATACTTCTATTTCCATCTAGTCCAGGTGTTTTTAGCCTTTGTGTGTGTGTGTGTCATACACCTCTCTGGACCTCTGAAAACGCCTGTAGAACCCTTCTCAAAATAATGTTTTTAAATGCATAAAATGAAATACATAGGATTACAAGGAAAACTAATTATAGTGAAATACAGTTATCAAAACTTTACCCCCCCCAAAAAAATCAAGGACACTAGGTTAAGAATTTCTGATTTGGGAAGAACATTATAACAATTTTTGGTTTTTCTCAAAACACTGATTATAAATTCTTGTTTTGAACTAATTTCTACTAGAACAGTAGATTGACTTCTTCAGACATAAAAATCAATACTGATTAGCTATAATCCACTATTGATAGATATACAGACTCTGATGTTGTGGGAAAGTCCCTCCCCCCAAAAAAAATCTTTTTAAAAATTTAGGACTATAATTAAGATCATCCCTCCTCCTTTTCTCTGTTTCTTTCTCAAACGAAAAATTGGAAACAAGTTACTTTCTGACTGTAGAAGATTTGGGTAATAGACAAGGTATAAACTGTGTAGAGAAACACATAACATCTCACTTGCACACACGTGTTGCAGATGTAGCAAACGCATTTATAGCTTGGCCCTTAATTCTGAGAAAAGGGGAAAATCCGTTAAGGATGTTTTTCTACTATTCCAAAAGCGAATGTCTATTTTCACAGTTCACGATCAGTTTTATTTGTCAATGCTCCCAGTTACTTCCGAATTTGCTTCATCTGTGAGGTTTTGCCCAGTTCCAGCCTTCTATCAATCGGTTTGATTTTTGCACATCTGAAGACAAAAGTGTATCTTAGCCTAATTGAAGAATTTCATTTTTTATGCATTCAGAAAATACTTTTAAATCAGGGCTCAACTTTTATTTACGTGAATAAAAATGCTAGTAGGTGGTGCACGACAGAACTGAAAGGGTTGAGTGGTGGGTAAATGATCCCGTATCAGCACAGAAGCCCAAGCAGCAGTGTTGAGCTGAACTGAAGTACCTAGTTAGTTACGCCGGGCTAGCTAGGTCGTGCACTCCATTAAAGCCCTACTCTTTCATCCTCCTTCTTCCGGCCCCCGTATTATGCAAATCATGTCAGGAACCCGGGGGCAATATGAACCATTTTCCCGCCGCTAGCTGAAGGACCGGACAGCAAAGTAAAAAGAGTAGGATAGGGAGGGTAAAAATAATTGTTTGTTTTTTTGAAGGCGGAGCTTCCGATGGTATTTTCTTCCCTTTAATAAGCAGACTATGGAAATACTCTTTTAGGGGCGAGCTGATGGGGCCTAGGCCCACGAGTTACCGCACCGTTCAGGACCTGCGCCTCTAGGCGCGGGAAAGCCCGGGCCCAGCCCCGCCCCGTCCCGGGTCGGGCTCGGCGCGCGCCCCTCCCGCAGTCTCTGCTCGCTCCCTCGTTCGCGCTCCTCTGGCTTCCGTGGAGCCGCTGTCGGCACTTCTCTGCTGCCCGCGCCCCTGCTCCCCGGGAGCGGTCCCTTCCCTTTAAATCGCCCTACTCGTGGACTCCCGCCACCACTCATGGATCCTTTCCGCATGCAGGTGAGGGTGCGCGTCTCCGAAACTTGGAATTCCACGCGAGTGTGCAGGATTAGTGGAGAGGAGGAGGAGGGCGGTTGGGGGGCAGTTTGGTCAACTCTGCAGAAAGACGTGCGTCCACCTGGGTGGTTGAGGCGCCGAAGCTTTCCTGCCCAAAGTGCAGCCGGAGTGAAGGTCGACCTAAGGTCCCCCTCGGTCTGGGAAGTAGTTATTTCGAGTGTGTGCATGTATGTGTGTGCGCGCCTGCAGACTCCACGTGGAGCAGGGCTGCACGCGATCTCTTGCCAGGAGAGGCGGCCCCCGAGCTCGGACTCTGCGGGCACCTTCATCCCCGCAGTGTGTATGCGGGTTCTGCTAGCCCAGGGCTCACCCCTCATCACCCTGGGACCATCCTAGGATGAGTGAGTGAAGGGGAGATTAGCCCCGAGGCGGAAAGAGTGTATAGGAATCTTGCATTCACAGCCCACCCCTCCCGCTGTCTTTCTTCCTCCCTGGGGCAGAACTGCTTTCCTGCATCTTGCTTAACCCCATTGCTTGCTCCACGTCTTGCCCTCCACCCCACCCCGGCTGTGCCCACATGCTTGCGCTCTGGTGCGCATAGCGGGGAAAGGAATGGGGCGCTGGGATGTTCCAAGCGAGCGCTATCATGTATGATGGTTTGTTTTTTTTTTGGTACGTCTTATGCTCTCCTTGCCCCTCGTAATAATCCTAATATACATCATAATATTCTCATCTGAATAAAGTTGAAGTCTTACCAACTCCTTAAACGCCTGTTAAAATGCCACCTTGTCTACGACGCCAGCAGTGATCCCTACAGCTGGAAGTGCTTCCTTCACCCTTTGGAATTAGCATTTGTATTTATGTGTGTCCTATCACCCCATTAGGTTGCGACCCTCTGAGGTTAGGGATTCATAGTCCTGTTAGTTTGCTTAAAGTTCTGGTAACTGGAGCTGTTATTCTCCAGTCCCCCATCCCCAACCCCCACCCACGTTCAGAGGTTGAAAGATAGAGCCTATGAGAAAGGGAAGCAGAAAGCGGGGTCTGCACGGGGGCCAGAGCTGTGGGGGTTGGGCAGAAAGGAAAAAGCAAAGCTTTCCCTCGGGGAGGGGAGTTAAGTGATGTGTCGGAGGTGGAGCTCTGCGATTGTGTGAGGTTGATAAGAAAGTAGCCTTCGCCACGGAGAATCTGTGCTGCAACCTTGCGGATTGGTGCTGTTCTGTTTGGTACTGTGACCTTGGAATAGAAAGTTCTGGCCCAGGAGCGTGAGGTTAGCATTACTGCTTGCTTTTAGTTAAGTGTTTGAAGATGAATCTGGATTCAGAATTCGTGTTCAGATTCTGTAGCTGACACCTTTGTGTCTCTAAAAGTTAACCACGTAGTTTACAAAATTTTATTTAGCTTGTGACTCTAGTTAAAGTGTTGCACACACTTGCTGAAAGAGAGACAGGCTCTCATTAGAGGCAAACCTAGGTTTCTTGGTAATTTATTAGCAGATGGATGCCGAACAAAAAGTCCTGGGAATACACCAGATGTATATAGATCACAGATAACAAAGTACTTCCTTGAAATATTTAATACAGACTTTGAAGGGGCCTTTTATGCCTAATAGTGAGCTCACAGAAACAGCAGAAATCACATTTTCCTCACTTTAGGATGTCTTCTAAAGACAAACTGTCCAAAGTAATTCCTAGAAGTGACTTAGATTTCCCCTTCCCCTCCCAGGTTACCATAGCATTTCCGATTTGTGCCATTAATGGCACTTACCTACTTTGTATCATAATTATTTGGCTAAGTGACCTGTCACTTACTCAGCAATAAGCTAATAGACACTTATTTGTATATCCCCTCTGTCCCTTGTGCAGTGCTTTGCACCGAGTTGGCAATCAAATGTTTGAATAAACAATTAGCATTTGGAAAGTAAGCAATTGGTGCATTTTAAAGAGTGTTGAATTTGCCCTCGGGATCTAAATTCCAAGCCTAGTTCTTCTACTTACTACCTGGATCACATTTGAGAAGTCACTTAATCTCTGAGCCTCAGTTTCCTCCTCTGTAAATTGCAGGGTTGCCCTAGAAGGACCCTGCTTTCTCTTTTAGCTCTAAATTTATGATGCTTGTGCTTAAGATGTTTTTAAGTTGAAGTCCACATTAAGCTGGAGGACCATTTGGTGCTTGGGCAAGATTTTAGAGTAAAAGAAAGACTTAACCAGTCAGGGATGTGGAAGGAATGCATTCCTGGCATCAGAAAATAAAATATGCAAATCACGGAGACAGAACTAAGTAGAATAGCCAGTAGTGCAGTGTAGCCAGAGAGTGGATGGAATGGAGAATAGTAGTGTGAAATAAAACTGGAAATAAGATTTTTTTAAAAATTTGGTCACATAATTGAATGCTGACCAAGATTAATAAAATGACAGTTTTATATAATTAATAAATTGGTGAGGGACAAGAATTAAGTTAGGAGTGTATTGGATTTTAAGTCAGAGAAACTGGGTTTAGATCCCAGCTTTTCTATGTCCTTGCACAAATTTTCTCTGGGCTTCAGATTTTCTCTTGAAAAAATGGAGAGGTTGGACTATGGTCTCAAAAGTCCCTTCCGGCAATGCTTACGATCTATGAATTTCATTTTACAGAGAAGCATGTTACTTCAACTTTTATTTAATATGCAGGTGTCTTTACTGAAGTTGATTTAGTAAATAAATGTAAAGGCAAAGGATAGATTTTTTTTTCCTGTACCTGCCAGGATTTTCTATTGAGTAGGTATCAGAAATCTCAGCATTTTTTGGGCCATTGATATGGTTCATAGGGGTCCTCTTGGAGATAGTGTGGTACTGCCAAACAGTCTCTTAATTTGGAGTCAGAGGACTCAGGTTTTAATCCTGACCCTGTTACTTAATAGAAAGACCAGAGTTTAAGAATACTGAGAAGGACCTGACTGCGTCATTTGACACACTGCATTTTTTTTATTGGCAAGGCAAAGAAAATAATACGAAATTTTTTCATTTCTAAATAAAATAATAATAAAATTTTTGCATCCGTTGATGGGCTTAGTATATCCAATGTTAAACTGTCTTTGCAACCTTGGGCAGGTTTTAGTCTCTTGGCCTCACTTTCCTCATCTCTAAAGTATATTCCTGAACTGGATCATAATTTAGAGCTGAAAAAGATTTTGGGTCAGCTATTTCCATAATGATCCCTAATGTCCCTCACAGCTCTAAACCCTGTGGTTACTATAGTAATAATTAAAAAAACTTGTCCTTCTGACTTGTTGAGTTTAATGGGTCAGCTCCGGTTGCTTTAGTTTAGACAGTTTAAAGCATAAAAATATAGAGGAAATAACCAGAACACAGAAGTTTTAAGTTTTTAAGAAGCAAAAAGTTCCAACTCGACGTCCCAACTGGATTTCTGTATTTGTGTGGAATTGTATGATTGCTATTATTGAGTGATGGGGTTGAAAAAAAAACAAACCTTGAAGAAGTTGCAGAGCAAGGAGTCTGAAACTCCACAGGTGAGACTAGAGGCTTAGAATCACCCACTTAGACACCTTGGGTGCTGTTTTCCTACAGATTCAGTGAGCAAACAGACCCACGTCCAATATTCCATGAGAAATTGCCATCTATCTAAACACCTAAATGGAATTTTATACAACATATGAAATGAGTCTTTGAGTGTCAGTCAGACCTTTTAACTCACATGAAAAAGCCTTAACTTGTTTAGCCGTTTATTCCACAGTGTTGAGGCATGCAATGCAGTTTGTGAGGACTTGGGCTACAGTCATTGTCACTTCTGATTGGAGTGAAGTCATATTTGGAATCTCTCCACCATGCTCTGTCTAGTGGCCCTGCCCAACTTCTTACCTTGGGAAATGAGCATCCATGTATAGTTCCAAATCTACATAGGAAACACCTCTTTGGTTTGAGTTTGGCTAAGGGAGAAACATCTGTTATTTTCTTTCAAAAGGGTAGCATGATGAAATTGAAAGAGTCAGAACTGAAAATTTGGGGGAAGCAAATGTTTGCCTGATGTTGGACTTGGAGATTTCGAAGTTAGGTGCTAGGTGGCTCCAAAGATGTTTGAAGAAATTATTTTTAAAAAAGTAATTCCCGTTTCACCCTACCCCCTCCAATTTATGAACAGCATCTCTTATTTGAAGACTTGTTGACCTGGTTCTGGATTGATTTTTTTTTTTTCCTTAATAACTAGTCCTGCTTTATTATCCATCAGGAGCATAAGAAATGGGCTCCATTGCCTCATAATGTTTTAAACATGCAAAACTCAAAAAAATTAATGTGTTGAAAAGTTAGATGCTGCAGTAAGCATCATATTTAATCAGATTGCCATTTCCATTTTCAGCAAAAGGACCTTTCTGTAAAGAAGAACTTCAAAAATTTCAGAAATGTGAAATTGATTTCCATGGAAACCTCGTCATCCTCTGATGACAGTTGTGACAGTTTTGCTTCTGATAATTTTGCAAACACAGTAAGTGCAGTATGAGAATAAACAGAATTGAGTCTGCGATGCTGAAAATGCCCCAAATGCTTTGTACGTGATTAAAACTGCTTGCTTTTTGCCTACATTTCTATACAGCCGTTATGAAAATACAGTATGCTCTGTAATTTCATTTCACTTTTTGCTGTGGTTCTAGGTAGTAATTGTTGGAGGTAGATTAGCTACTTATTCTATCCTTTTGAAATGTCGCCTAACCTAACATGCCTGATGATTTGCCATAACAACTCAGAAATCATTTGTAAACCCCTGAACCATTTTTCTTTGTAACAAAAGCTATTCTCTTGTAGTGCACTTGTAAATGTGATTTGCTCTCTGCACGGTTTATGGAAAATTGGTTCTTCAAAAGGGAAAAAAAAAAGATGCACAATGGCATTTATTTATTTATTTTGCAGAAGCCCAAATTCAGGTCAGATATCAGTGAAGAACTGGCAAATATTTTTTATGAGGACTCTGATAATGAATCTTTCTGCGGCTTTCCAGAAAGTGAGGCACAAGACCTAAGAGGGGATTGTGGAATTTTACACAAACCCAGACTCAGGCCAGATATCACTAAAGAACTGGCCAGTGTTTTTTATGCCGACTCTGATGATGAATCATTCTGCGGCTTCTCAGAAAGCGAGATACAGGATGGAATGGTGAGTTTCAGGTTATGTCAATATCCAGAATTAATGTGTAGTACCAGAATGGAATATTTTTTTTGTCATTTTAGGTGATTTACCATAAAATAATTGCTTTTAGATAATAAATTCAACAAAATTCGTGGTTTTAAGTTGAAGTTTTATTATAAAATTCCTGGAAAAAAATAATTCTAACTTTAAGGAATATTCACAATGAGAAATACTTGTCCTTTGGTAGCATTTATTTTCCATTGAGTTCTAGTTTGTAAGCATTGCTCCATGAGTATTGTAGGAATACTGAAACTTAGAGCAGAAAGTCAGAGGTTCACTCATTCTATTCCAGAACCTTAGCTTCTATGAAACCATTAGTGAGAAGTTCAGTTAGTTTGAAAGTTTGGTGATGGAAGGTACTTTATCGGGATAAGGATAATGAGGAACCCTTTTACCCAGTGTTTTCCATGCTTGGCTTTATCTATTTGCTGCTGCTGCTGCTGCTGCTGCCGCCACTGCTGCTGCCACTGCTGCTGCCACTGCTGCTGCCATTACCTCTTCATTGCTACTACTGCTGGGTTACATATCACCTTCCCTCCCTCTTCAACTGGCTCAAAAAGTGTGCTGCTTCCTTAGGAAACCCAAAATATGTCCCAGGAGATGTGTATGCTTTTTCCTTTGCCCAACTTGGGTAGAGGAAGTGCCTTCTGTAACTTATAATTTGATGTCTGGACTAGAAAAGTGAAATGAAGATCAGTGGGGAACATCTCACAGCCCAATGACTGCATTTTATTTGCAAGGGTCATCCCAGAGCTTCAAGAAGGCCTAGCAGCTACAGAGGGGCATCTAAGCTAATCAGCTTTTTAGAAGCAAACTTTGAAAAAAATGAGGCAGCTTCTTAATGAATATATCCCTGCATATATACATGGGTGGCTTAAAAGTTTAAGGAGGTGTTGAAAGGTGCTTACTTTGGTCAGCAGTTTTGGAAGGGTAATGGCAAGCATTGTTAGTGACCTGTATAGAGTAGTAGTGGTTTTCTTTTGCCCAGGCCAAGTAACTTCACGATTTGTAAAAGGGGTAAGTTAGTATCCTTCCTAGAAGGGAAGATTACGGAATAAAGGGAAAGGGACTTTCAGGAAGGATGAAACATTCCTTGAAAAAAATGGAAGGTCTTCAAAGGTGAAAACAAAGAAAGAAGGCAGATGATTTGAAGAGGCAGAGAATCTTGATTTATGTCAGGAGGTGGAGGGTGAACGAATGTGGAAAGAGTATGGGAATAACCACTTTATCTTTAGAAGAACTCAGGAATGGATATGAGGCTCTTCCTATAGAGTGGGATGAGTTGGACCCTCTGAGAAAGAAGCAGCTGCTTGCACTCCCAAGGAATGATGATGAGATTCCAGAGGTAGCATCAGGGGAGATAATCCAGTTAGGGTTTTAGAAAGAAAAAGATAAGTAATTGTTAGTGATTCCTGAAGAATACCAAGGCAGTAATTTTTTAAACTGATGTTAGTAATAGAGAAGTCTGCCTTCTTGGGAAAGTATGTATCCGGAAAGGAATGGAGCCTCCTAATATTTCTTGGACCTGGTGAGAACTTCCCAATTGCATTCACATGAGGGAAAACGATACTTCCAGAAGAAACCTAGAAAGCATTACTAGGCATTATGAAGTCCGGCCGATTTGAAGGAAGGAACTTCAGAAAAGAGGAGGAGCCAGGCAGGTTTGGAAATTGAACAAATGATTAGGAAGATTGAAGTTAAGGGGAAGTGAGAGAAAATGTTAATTTTTTAAAAGTTTTATCCTTTTTTTTTTAATTGTATGTGAAAACAGTACTTGGTCAATTTTTTTTAGTGAAGTTGAGTTTTATTTAATAGTAGAACAAAAACAACTATGGAGTAGTAAGAGCTATCAAACTTTCCAAATCAAAGCTTCATCAGTGAAGAATAAATAGTATGAATTCAGAGGTGGCTTTATTCTAAAGGTGTTATACAAATCTCTTGCCCCCTCTGCTCTCACACAAGTCCATCCCTAGAGGAGATAACTGGACTAGTATTCCCCAATACTACTGCCTGCTTTTTCTACTTTGTAAAAGGCACCATGTAAGACTCTAGATCCTCCCTATGCCACCATTGATTAATAACCTCATTCTCTTTTTAAACTTTTAACACTGTCCCTTTATATTATCCTAGCCAAATCATTGTTACATCCATCTACCAACCAGCTCTCATTCTTACTAAAGTATTAATATCTAATACCCTGGCCTCCCAATTCATTAACTCTATTGTGCCCTACATCTCTATTCAATCCCAGCTAACTCTCACCCCACGCCAAACATCTTCCTCTGCCTTGAAGACTTTGAACTCTTAAAATTTTCTCCTTATAATCTCCTTAACTTTCATCTCTGCCAGCCACTTTTTTTCCACGTTTTTTTTTTAAGGCAGTTGGGGTTAAGTGACTTGCCCAGGGTCACAGAGCTAGTAAGCATCAAATGTTTGGTCTCAGGCCAGGTTTGAACTCAGGTCCTCTTGACTTCAGGGCTGGTGCTCTATCCACTGCACCACCTAGCTGCCCCTCTGCCAGCCATTTTTGACTGATGAATCACTTGTTGTCCATCACCCTCTCTTCTCATTTCCTTCCCTTTACGATTTTGAACCCTATATTTAACTGGTTCAGTAAGGGCATGTTCCACCACTCTTGAATCCCTTGCCTTCTTGGCCTGTTGTGTATACCCTACTCATCCTCAACCTTGGGCCATCTCCACCATAAACCTATTCCTCTCCTACCCCCAAGCTGTGTGACCTAGGCCCACTACAAATTACTAAACTCAACCGTACAAGTACATAGCAATCCTTCTGTTCTTTTTTGATTGATTCTCGATCACCATCCCCACAATAGTTGTTGCAGAGATCAAGTTTCTAACCAAGCACTCCACCCCGAAACAAGCTTGAGGGACCTTGCCTAATGCTTCATTGAATACATACATACATACATACATACCAATGGTGGCTGCATATTGACTTTGAAAACCACAAATTAACATTGCCTGTGTTATATTTGTTTGTTAAATATTTCCTAATTACATTTTAATCTGGTTCTGGCTACACTGGGAAACAAGTTTGACACCCAGTCTACACTAATTTCCTCCATTTTGTCTTCAGCCAGTGACTCTAAATCTCTTCAACATGTTTACCCAGAGACTTTTCAGACTCCTTATTTGTTTGTTAGCTGCATTTTCTGATATGTTCTCTTCAAAATCATAGAGTCTCAGAATTTAGAGGAACCTCAGAGACCATCTGGGTAGCTTCAGACCCCAACCACTCTATTGAGCCTGGTCTTATAAAGAACTTCATTGACCTCTTAAGTTGCTAAATCCAGTGGCCTTTTATTATCCTATTCTGGGACCTTTCTGTAACAATTAGCACTACTAACCACTCCCTCTTCCTGGACTCTCCTGATCTCTCCCTTCTGGTTGTCTTATGTGACACTTCTTTCTCCTGATTCCCTACCTGTTTGAATACTCTGTTGTTTCCTTTGCTGGTTTAACCTCTCAAACTCTCCCAATGTGGGTATCTGTCCCTCAGGTTTTCTCTTCTGGGCTCTTTTCTTTCTATACCATATTCCTTGAAAATGTCATGTACTTTCCCAACGTACTCAATCCGATATAGACTTATTCTGAACTTCTAGTTCCATATTTTCAGTTGCCTTCTATATACCTCTACTTGGATGTCTATCCCAAGACTTCAAAGTTAGCATGTTTAAAATTGAACTAATATCATCTCTTCTTCCTGGAGGAAGCATGGTATAAATGTGGCATTCAGCGTGGAATTGGAAAGACCTGGGTGCTGCCTCCAACACTTACTTGCTTTGTGATCCTTGACAGATTTTTTTTAACCTCTCTGAACTTGTTTCCTCATCTGTAAAGTGAGGGGTTTGGACTTAATGGTCTCAAAGATGCCTCCCATCTAAGTCTGTGGTCCTATATTCATTCCAATTTCTGTCACTGGTACCACCAGCTTCATCATCCAGGCTCATCTTTGATTTGTTCTTCCCCTCACCTTCACATCCTGTCACTTTCCAGGTCCTATCCATTCTTTTGCCACTCTCTTTCTCAGATTTGTCCCCATTTCTGCATTTATACAGCCACCAGCCTAGGTTGTCTCCTCATCCATTTCTGTCAAACTCCCCTTCCTTCAAGACCCAACTCAAGGGCCACTTACTCCATAAAGCTTTCCTGATCCCACTGCTCAGTCCTCCTCGGCCTGAAGGTGTTTCCTTTTCAGATTTTCCTTGGGCACATTGATTCTCTCCTTTATTCCATCCTTCTCCATCCTGAATCTATATATACAATTAAATTCTGGTAAAGTGTGAGCTATTCAGAGACAAGGATTGTCATTGTTCATTTTTATAACTCCTGTACTTAGTACAGTGTCTTGCATATACTAGGCACATAGTAAGTGTTTAAATGAGATGCAGCTGGATATAGGCAGAAGCAAGAGTCTGTTTATGCATTCTTTGGCCTTTTGATTAGGTAAAATGTAGGCATTAAGAAAATGAACTGGTGACCCAGGGTAAGTCATTATCTTCTATTGGTCAGGGAATAGATTCCATCTCAAATATTTCCTGGCTGTAAGTAATAGCCTTTTGAGGGTGAATAATAATGTGAGATTATCTGTTTCGTTCTAACCAGTGGTGAGAGTAGTAATTATATCACATTCAGATTACTGTCTGATTTTGATCATCTAGGGAGTTGGTTTATTTATGTGTTTTTTTTTTTGTTTGTTTGTTTTATGCAACAGGTAAGTATTGTAAAATTAAACAGATTGTTTTGTTTGAACAGAAATTGGATTCTGTTGATGAAGGCAGAAGGACTCGGAGTAAAATGAAACATTTGGGTCCTTTGCAAGTGGCTCTAAAGTTTCCAACCCGAGACTTCAAAGGGGGTAGGAAGCAGAAAGTGGCCCCAACCAACGCCCCGGAAGTTCCCACTTCCAATTCTGATTCTGACTCTGAAGATGAGAAAGGCTCCAGTTTTTTGGAAAAGCGGGCGCTCAATATAAAGGAAAACAAGGCAATGGTATGTGTTGTAGAATCCTGTGGTCAAATCTATTTTTTAATACTGGGCTTTCAATTCCTATGGGATATGTTACTTCTAAGGGTTGTTATCTGTGTTCTTATGATAGTTTATAACATGTTCCCACAAATTGATAGCTCTTTTGTCATTCTGTTGAAACTGTGCTTAAGTATTTTAGTTAATACCTTCCAAGAACTTCTGTGCTTTCAGATTGTTAGATGTAAGGGTATAGTAACAAAAGAAAGAAATAAGGGTGACCTCAATTTCTAAAGTTGTTGACTCTTGTTAGGAATTGTTCTAATAATATGACTTGTTTACTTTAGGTTTTGTTTTTTTTCCCCCCAATCTTACCCCTCCCCTCAGCTTGCAAAATTAATGTCAGAATTACAAAGTTTCCCGGGATTATTTACTGGAAGGAGATCACTTCCAGGTAGTAGCCCAGTAAGTATAAACTAACTTTCTTTGCTTATATTTCACAGAACAAGTATATTAACACATTTAATTAAAAGTAAGCTTTTCAAACCATCAAGTTAAAAAAAAATTAAGTTTCTTAATAACACCATGTATGATTATAACTTTCAGGAACAAAACCAGTATGATTAAGATCAGTTAGGCAGGTGCAGTGCAAAGAAAAGAAAATTATCGTTACCCACCTTCACCTTTGATAGTTTTCTGTTGAGCACTATTGAACACACAGGGTATCTTGGGCTCGATGGGCTGCTTGTAGAAGGAGTTTTGAAACAATACTGGAGGTGGTATCAGTTTTTTTCTCTTAGCTAACACTAAAAGAATGAATGACTCTACGAAGCATCATGTGCTCGTGATGATTCAGTGACAAAGATGAAGCCATCCCTTCCCTCATGGAGCTTATGTTTTATTGAGAGAAACAATTTCTGTACCTTCAAGTAGATACAAAATATATGTAATTTCAGAGTGTGCGGTACTAGCACCCTTGAGAAAGGATCAGGAAGATCTCATGTGGGTGGAAGAAATAAGGAGCCTCCATTGTTCTCTAGGAGACTGAATTTTGCCCAGACTAGTGAATTAGACCTAGTTTCTGTGGGTACTTTAGCACCAGTCTCATTTAATTCAGACTGTGGGAACAAGTAGTGTTCTTCATTTTGAAGAAAGTATTTTTAGGAAAACGCATGATCTTTTTTCTTCATGGGGGTTTTCCATTTTAGCCGTCAAAGCCAAATCGAAGGCGCTCCTTCCCAAGAGACCCCTCAAGGAGAAACCCTGAACGAAGAGCTCGTCCACACACCAGGTCAAGGTCTCTGCTGGAAGGACCCCCAGATCTGCACTTAGAAGATGAAATAGATTTTGAGGACAAGTACATGTTAGTGAGAAAAAGGAAGAGCATCGATGGCTATGTGGATGTAGGTTCCCTCTATTTCTGTTCTATGGAAGTTAGCATCTAGAATTTTACTATATCATTGTTCTGTCCTTGTCCTCCCCTTCCTTTGTTTTTGTTTTGTTTTTTTCCCTTTTTTTGGAGAGAAGTTTGCTACAAAAACTTGTAACTTTTGGTTTAGGGCAAAAAGAGACTCAGCTCCCACTCTGATAATCTCTTCATGGTATGGCAATGACCCAAGGTTTTCAACTGCCTTTCCAGTAGCTCATTAGGTCAAGTAGGTTCCTACCATGCTAGAAAGGTTCCGGACTTAGGCCTGGTGATAGACTGTGTGACTGTCATCTGAGGACCAGTCTACAAATATGGAGAGTTTAATCAAAAGAAAATTAGGCACAGTAACCCATTAAGAACATGTACTAAAGAGTGAAAGGCTGTGTTGATCAAAGGGTGTAACTTCACCATTGAGCAATAGCGGCTGTTAGATTGGTATCAGAATCTTTTGTTTATATTGCATGGGTGCATCTATACAATAATGTGTTGACCTGTCTTTTTCTATAAATACTAAGGAAGCTTTCTAGGTTGATTGTGCCAGAGAAATTAAAAGTATGCCTATGAAATGTAAAGCCAGACTAAGAAGTGTGGAAATTATTTTCATAAATTGTTGTCACACAGGATGATGCCATACCCAGAAGTCGTCGCCCAGGTACCATGACCCTTCCTCATATTGTTCGTCCAGTGGAAGAGATTACAGAGGAAGAGTTGGAAAACGTCTGCATCTCCTCCCGGGACAAGATCTACAACCGTTCATTAGTAAGATCCTCTAAGTCAGAGATTCTTAATCTTTTTTTGCATTATGGACCTTCTCAGAATCATGTATTTGCATCCATATAATAAATATAGAGGATTACAAAGGAAACCAGTTATATTGAAATAGTTATAAAATATTTTTTAAAAAACCAATCCAGTTTCATGGTTGAGAATTCAAAAACTACCTCTAGGATGATGATTTGCTAGAATAGGGTGACATGTTTTTCACTGTATTAATTTCTCCTTAAAATTTGCATATGTTGGCTAGACTAGATTCCCTTTCAAGGTAGGTGGGTGGTTTGCTAACCATACTGCAAAGGGAGAGTGCCCAGACCCTCTTATGGAATCCCTGGACTCCGCCACCTCTCCTCCACCTTCCTACTAATCACAAACTGTGCTTAGCACTCGGGAACAAGAAGAGGACAGTATGAAACATATGGTGTCGCTCATCTTCTGGTTATTTTTTTTAAACCTTGGAGTTCTGAAGATGAAATGGACTCACTGGTTCATTCCTACTCACTCCTACCTTGAATCAAACACCTTATAGAAGAGAAAGTGGGAGTTTGATAAAAAAAAAAAATATTATTTAAGTCTCTTCTGATTTGTCTGAAGCCGTTTTGTCCTGACAGGATACTTGGTTCATTTTGAAGTCTAATACAAATGAGAGTGAGCCGCTCAAGGCCCCACCGCAGAGGAGTTCAGCCATTGTTTTTTTTTTTCTCTAGAGAAACCAGCCTGCTTGTTCTCACTTGCTGCCCTTTTTTTTGCTTCAGGGTTCCACCTGCCACCAGTGTCGCCAGAAGACTATTGACACCAAGACAAACTGCAGAAACCCAGAATGTTTTGGAGTTCGAGGACAGTTCTGTGGCCCCTGTCTTCGAAATCGATACGGTGAAGAGGTCAAAATAGCATTGCTGGACCCAGTAAGTGCCATGGAGGGATTCTAGTTCTGCTCTCTCCTAGTAAGGGTGGAGTAAATAAGTAAACATTTTTCAGTGTTAGCCAGTGCCAGGCACTGTGCTAAGTGCTGGGGATACAAAGAGGCAAAAGACTGTCCCTGCCCTCAAGGAGCTTGCAATCTAATGAGCTGGAAGTCCATTATAAATGAATGCCCTATATACTTTCTCGTTAACTGCTTAAATTTTCTTGGTTGTAAAAGTGCTATATTTCCCACAGTTTGAGGTTTTCAGAAATAGTCAGTAAATATCTTTAGAGTTTGCTCTGAAATTAAGTGTGTACCAGGGGTGGGGAACCTGCTGCCTTAAGGCCACATGTGGCCCTCTAGGTCCTTAAGTACAGCCCTTTAACTGAATCCAAACTTCATAGAGCAATTCGATTAATAAAAGGATTTGCTCTGTGACACTTGGACTCAGTCAAAAAGCAGCACCCAAGGACACCTGGGCCTTGAGGCAGCAGGTTCCCCACCCCTGGTAGACTCTACATGCAGTCAGTCAATAAACATTTATTAAGTGCCTACCATCTGCCCTCAAGTAGCTTACAATCTAATGTATGAGCTAATTCAGTTATACCTTTCTTGGAATTGTATAGGTCTGCAATAAATGTCTTCTGAATTTCCTTCCATCTCTGAGACTTTATGATTCTAAGATGTATAGTTTTTGTTATCAAGAAACTTTGTTCTCTTGGTTGTTTTACTCGTTTCACCCATATTTCTTTATTGGAAGGAGTGTGAGGGAGAGAAAAATATAAGAAAATGAATGTCCCAGGTAGAATTTTTTATTTTGTCAGTGTTAACCTCTGTTTATTTTATTTTTTTAAACGCTAGAATTGGCATTGCCCACCTTGTCGTGGAATCTGCAACTGCAGCTTTTGTAGGCAGAGAGATGGACGATGTGCAACTGGTGTTTTGGTATATTTGGCCAAGTACCATGGTTTTGGAAATGTGCATGCTTATTTGAAAAGGTAAGGTTTCTGTGGACTCATCTACTTGTGCCTAAAACCAAAATGAATTAACCCATGGGGATCCCGGTGCCACTGAAAACCAGAACTTAGAGTTTTTGTTTGTTTTTTTTCTTTTGCAGTCTGAAGCGGGAATTTGAAATGGAGGCGGAAAATTGATGAAGGATTCACTGGCACAGTTTCCTTTCTCTAATCTCTTTGTTAAACTTCAATAATCTTGGGCAGTTGGTGGTTAAACAACTTCAGGTGTCAATCTCAATAATCAGTATTTTTTTATAGTGGGGCCAAATTAAGATAAGATTAAAATCCGTTTTTGGAAGCACAAGTAATATAAGTTAAAGGTTGCATTGTAGTTTTATGCTCTGTCCCTCACCCCGCTATCACTGACCATAAAATGATTTCATTGAAATACATTCGACTTTGTCCTTTTAGTACTTGTGGGAGGAAGGGGGATGGTTCATGATTGGGGATAAAGCCCTGGAACCTAACGATATAACAAAACACTTGGAAATGCCTAATTAAGTATTTTTAGGTAACTAACCCTCCTAATATAGTACTTCACATCCGTTGAGTATTCTGGCAAGAGGTAGACTCAGTACTTAGAAACGACATAGAAGATGACATGATAGGTACAGAGGACGGAGTGTGGTATTATAGAATCTACTGAGCCCACAGAGCCTGCACTTGAATTCCAGGGTTTCTGTTGTCATGGGAATTACTTGCTTATAAACTTTTTTGTACATCAAGAGATTTAAAATATGCATGTACTGGTTCATAATTACCTTTGTGGTATAAAATTTCATGTGCTGTATACAGTTATATACTTGAATCTGCATTTTAAAAAAAAAAAATCATAGCAACCAAAAAGTATAAGAACTTCAGTATTAGATGTGCCTAACGGTTTCCCCTCCTCTTTTCCCCAATAATCTTGCAGTTGAAAACTGGACTAACCTTAAAATTCTTGGTGTTAGACTTAAACATACCTGCTTTTTCTCCCCTGTGTTTTATACAGTTCCTATGTAGGGTATTTCAAAATATCTCTTAGACCATATTGTATGGAAAGTTGGCATAAGTAATAGCCTACAGTGCTTAGCATTTCTGCTTGACTGAAGAAAATAACAGGCCATGCACAGAGTTGACTTTAGATTTTATGTTCTCTACTGCAGCCTGGAAAGTGCCTTATTGGAAGAAATCAAATGGTTATGACCAAAGTACTTTCTGATCCCGTTTTAGTCTGTGGGATAACATCCATGTTTGGCTTTTAGTATTAATCAAATTAGATTGGGAGACGGGACATTTTTATGTTCTGAAGGGGTCTGTTGTACTTTCCTATACACATAGCATCGTGTCATGGTTTTCATGCAGTGTTGGACACATAATTAGATCTTATATCAGAAAACAGCAAACGTTGTAAATAGGTCTTTAGATCTGTAATGTTCTTTTGTATACAAATTTTATTTTATTAATAAAACATATTGTTCAGACTTGTTTGTTTTTTCTTTGATACCCTTATTTCATTGGGGGAAAGTATTAAGAGAAATAAGCATTTATATTAACTGATGTCAACAAAATATGGGATTCAGGATGATGACCCGGGTTCAAGTCTTGTTTCTGACTCAGTTTCTGTTGCCCTGGGCAAGTCTCTTAAGTCTTTCGTGTCTAACTCGAATAGAAATGCAGGCCACTAAACAGTACGTAAAGATCCTCCAACTTAGAGAACCACTTATTAACATTGTTAATACGTGTTGGATTCTTTGTGACCCCAATTTGAGGTTTTCTTGCCAAAAATACTAGAGTGGTTTGTCATTTCTTACTTTAGCTCATTTTATAGATGAGGAAACTGAGGCAAACAGGGTTAAGTGGCTTGCCCTAGGTCACACAGCTGGTAAGTGTCTGAGGCCAGATTTGAACTTGGGTTTCCTGACTCCAGGTCCAGCATTCTATCTACTGTACCACCTAAGCTGCCCATATTAACATTATGTTCTATTGTATTTCCATTTATTTTAAATATTTCCCAATGACATTTTAATCTGGCTCCTAGAGTCACGTATTTGATATCTCTGTTCTAAGCAAGACTATAATTTGTAGAGAGAGTACTGACCTATACTGGTAGATGGGTTCTTCACCAGGGATTCCCTTCTTTCAGTGAAATCACAGATATAGTCCCTATCCCTATGAATAGAATGCTAGATGGGGGAATAAAGAAGCCCTGTGTCCAAATCCAATCTAAGACACTAGATGTGTGACCCTGGACAAATCACTTCATCTCTGTCTTTATTTCATCATCTGTAAAATGAAAATAATAGCAGCACCTACCTCCTAAAGTTGTTGGAAGTTGTTATCAAATGAGATAATGTATTTGCAGACCTTACAACACACCATTGTCTGACATTCTAACTCCCTTAGGTTATAAGCTCCAGGTAGGCAGGAACCAGCAATCTGGCTTTTTTTTTTTTAAGAGTTTCTGACTTGGTACTTCATTATTTCAATGAACTGCATGCTTTTGGATGAGCCAAAAAAACTGACATTACTTCCACCTTGAATGATAACCCTGAGAATTCTCTAAATGGAATTGTTTAACCTAGTAACCAACACAGCAAATTCAAAACAGTCTCGTTTTCATCGATCATTCAACAGCTCTTTAATACCTGCTGTGGATGATATAATTCTAAGAAGCCTGAAACAGGGTATTTGCCCTCAAGGAATTTTAGTTGAACATTTGGAGAATCAACTGTCCATACTCGCAATCTGGTTTTTGGGAAAAGCAATCGAATTCACTTTGACATCTGATTATCTGTCATCCTGTGAAACAGTATGTGGAGTCAGTTTGGAGTTAGAATTTTGTTTCTGTCGATTATAACCTGAATGATCTGGGCTTCATTTTACCCGTCTCTAAAAGGAATTTGGGCTAGATGGACCTCCAACTCTGAATCTGTGATGATTCTGTGTAGCAGCTGTTCCCTATTGGGGAAAGCAAGGCTAGGGCATAAGGGGAAGAAAAAAGCTCAATAAATCCAACTGATTTCAATGGTCAATTCTGATCCAGGGAATCTTGGATTATCAGCTACATTGACCAAACCGGAATTGCTCTTTTTAGTGTAACCTGCAAGAAAACCATGTGATTACAGTATAGTGTCTTTTGGGGGGAAAAGTGTTTTAGAATTTCTCCCTACTCAAATGCTAATTATAATGCCGATGTTAATTTCAATATTTCTGGGATTTTCCACTGTTTAGTGGAAATTCTATGCTTAGGAGATTGTATCTCAACTATATTTCAAAAATTGGATACAGATTTCTTTTCTCTGGTGTCCACTGGGCCTGGATCTCAGAAAAATAAAGGTATTGCTGCTAATGATTTCAGCTGACTTTCCCATAATGCAACTATTTGGGGCATCCCAAGTATTTTGAGGGAAAAATTTTAGATGCTACCGAACTAAATGAAAACTGGAGCTAGATGCTATATTCCTCCGCCTGCCCTATACTCCCCCTCATTAAGAAGGGAGAAAAAGGTATTAACTAAATTCATTTGACCTCAGGATGGATAGAGTAGATACCAAATGCTCTAATTAGTTGCTTTCAACAAAAGGGCATAAAAATAACCTTAAAGTGGGAAAGCTGGATCCATGTTCTAGTCACTGCAGGGCCAACTAGTTTTAAAACTGAAGGAGCTTCATTTGTAAAACGAGAGGATTGTTTTAGAATCATGTTTTGTAAGAGTCCTTTCAGCCTAGTTGCCTCTACTTAGAAGAAACTTCAAATGCAGCTTCTAACAATGCATAACTACAGGAACTATTGGAAATAGGCCAATATCCAGCTCATTGGTACTCTGTCAATTGTATATATGTTATTATTAATTAAAAGTGAAGAGATTAGTTTGTCCCCCCACCCCAGGGGAGAAATACATAGTGATTCTTTTGGGTCGATTTTTCAGCCCCTCCTCCCCTTTGAATTATTTATGGTTTTGTATAACCCTCTGTAATTTTCACTGTATCTTGATAACAACCTGTGAATAGTGACTTACTAATAAAGAAGCCTCAACCCTTGACTTAACCATAGATTTACATCTCTCTTCATTTGAAATTAGTGACTGAAATAACTATGAAAGAGCAAGAAGGAAAGAAGTAGAAAAGCTTTCATTGGAAGTCATTTATTAAAAGCAAGAGGAAAATTTTAATGGACAGAAAGCTGCATTAGACGTGGTAGGCAAAAGCTGGGATTAAGAGCAGGCTTTGTGATTAAGCTTGTAAATTTTGCTACTAGTGATTGGGATTGGATTTGGGATTTCACTGATAAAGGGAATTTTTGAATGAGGACATTACCTGTGCAATATCTCATCTTTACAATTTTTAGACAAAACAGAGATCCTTAACCTGGGGTACACAAACTTTACTTTTTAAATTTTGGTAACTTTTTCAACATCGTTACTAATTGTTTTTGTAATCCAGTGTATTTTACACAATGGAAAACATTCAGAACTGTCATAGGCTTCACCAGATGCCAAAGCAATCCATGACATGCAGAAGCTTAAGAAATCCCCTTCCCCACCTCATGGAGTACTGGAATGATACGGTTATTTGCCAGGGGGCATGTAGCCAGTATCATCCAAAGCAGGATTTGCACTCATTTCTTCCTAGCTTTAAAGCTAGCTCTCTAGACACTGCACCATGTTGTTTCTAGCAAATTTTGCTAATAATAGTCTCAATTTGTATGAGAGGTATGGCTCAATCCTTCATCTCAAATGTGAGCTGTTTCTCTAAAGTGTCAGTCAAGTTAGCCGCCATATGACAGTCATAGTTAGCTATGTCTTTTACAAGGGGTGTATATATAAATCTATATTGATAACGGGAATTTGGAAATCCTTGCTTCTGGGGAAATGCTGCAACAAAGCTAATAGGAAAGCATACTGTGGAATTTGCATTTTCTTGCCACTCCCCTTAACCAACTCAAGGCTAATTTTGCTTATTCCAGTGACATTGATCCAGGAAAATATCTCATATGAAGCAAGACAAATGACTAGTAACCCAGAGCAAGAAGCAATTTATTCCAGACAAGTAGTAAAAAAGAATACTGTTTTTCATTTCAGTGGGCTGATAAATTTTTTTGCCTTGTTTAAGAAGAGAAAATGTTAGATTTATGAAGTTTTTCCAGACTGTAGTTACTTTCACTGTAGGTAAAAGATTCACTAAAGATCATTCTTAAAATTTTTTCATCTATCCATGACCAAGCATTCATTAACCACCTACTATGGGCCAATTGGGGCAGCTGGGTGGTGCAGTGGATAGAGCACTGGGCCTGGAGTCAAGATCTTATTTCAAATTCAGCCTCAGACGCTAGATTTGTGACCCTGGGTAAGTCACAGCCCCTATTTATTTGCCTCAGTTCCTCATCTGTAAAATGGGAATGTACTGGTGAAGGAAATGGTAAACCACTCCAGTGTCTTTGTCAAGAAAACCCCATGTATTTGTAACAAAGAGTCAGACACAGCTGAACCACTGAACAACAATGGGCCCAGACACTGTGCTGAGCCATGCATATATAAAGACAGAATTCAAAACACTTCCTGTCCTCAAGGAGGTTACGTCCTCATGGGACTATTCAGCCACTAATTTTTCCTCAGTGATGCTGTCACCATTACACGGTGCCTCCTAGAATGGAAATTAAGTATTTTGAAAATAACCTTATCAATCATAATGAAATTTAGTATTGACAGTGGTATCTGCCTACACGATGTCATTTGAGAGATGCTGGGAAATTCAGTTCAATAAACAGTCTTCATGTTATTCATCACCAGTTAATTTTCTCCCCCAAACAGTTGTTGAGTTTTTTATTTTGGTCATTGTAAAATAGTAGAGGCAGCTTGGGGTAGTGGATAGCCAGTTGAATTTGAAGTCAGGAAGAAAAGCCATAATTCAAATCCTTCCAACACTGAGTTACCTTGGACCAGTCACTTAAACTCCTACCTCTCACATTTCCCAAAGATTTTAAGGTAGTTGACAATCTTCATTGATGGAGGAATTTACCACACAAGAACACCCTTATGTGGATGAAATTATAGATCTCTCCATATAAAACGATGCAGAAAAAACAAGGAATGAAAGAGAATTAACTGGAGTAATCTGTCTAGCTCTTGCTTCTTAGACCATCATAGCAACAACCTCACAGGTGATCCTTCTAGGTCATTGTGCAAACCAATTCTCTACTACTTGTCTCTCCTCCCCACCATTTCTTTTCCAGGACCCATTTTGTTGAAAGTGGAGTGGGTGGCTGCCTGCATGGTGAGGGAGTTGATGTCCTAGTGGAGGGAAGCAACATGCATTTACATTAAGTAAATATAAAAATACACAGTAATTTGGGGGGAGAACCCTTATGATTAGCAACTGACACTTTAACTGAGCCTTGAAGGGACCTAGGGATTCCAAGAAGTGGCCATGAGAAGGGAGTATA